GTTACTTCTGTGATGTATGTGACTAATTTTGTAGCACAAATGCACATGTAAGATTATCTTCAGCTAACCTTGGTCTTGGGTATATTCCTGTTCACCTACCCCCACCTGATCTTCTCACCTGTGTATGCATTTACCCATATCCTAGTGTTTGGTGCCACCAGTAATGCAGTACTGTGCTTGTAATAGTATTTGCCTTTGTTTTCTACATCTTCTGTGCACATTTATGTATTCTCCCTTTCCCCATTATCACCATGCTGGTCACAAACTCTTACCATATCGCCTCTCTCCTTGCCTGAATCAACATGTGACCCATAACTAGTCTGAAAATTTCCCTCCCTTTCCCTGCCATCCCCAGTAACCAACAAAGGGAAATTCCTTCCCTGAGTAAACCTTTACTTGCCAAGGACCTTTAAATTTACTGGGTCATAGAAGGGTGGTGAGGGGATCTAGAGAGGCAAATGAGAGAAAACAGGCACAAAGTGCCCAAGAAAGAGATTAAATGACTATGCCTACATGTATAAGAAAGGAAGAATTATATGATAATAAAAATGGCTTGAACTGTTTGTATCATAAAAATAAGCTATGCTTTTCACTGGAAATGGGAAACTGATTAGAGGATACATTAAATGCTTTTCAAGGTGAACCTTTAATTATTGACTGAGAACATCAGTATTAATATTAAACAAAAAAAGCAATGACTGGGGGTTAAGCTGCATACTTTGATAAGAATTATCTGAGTAAAAGAAGATTAAGGGGAAGAGTTAACTTGGCTAAGTAATCCACAGAGGAGATGACAGAATTTGGTTGGAGGTGGTATTGAATGCAGAAAGGGATGGGAAATTCAAAGGTATTTCAGAGAGAAAAGCAAATGAAGAAATTAATGTCTCATCTCCAAATATTGAATATTCAAACTTACTAGAAAGTAAATGAACTCAGGAAGTATATTTTTAGACAAAGAATATAGCACAGAGAAGTGGTTTTTGTTTTGTTTTGTTTTGCTTTGCTTTTGTTTTTGTTTTTTGAAATATATTACACAAATCTAAGGAATTTTTATATTTAAATGCATTTTCTGTTAGGCAATATAAGACAGACTTTTTTTTTCCCTTATGAATCAGTAGAACATTCTACCTCTATTATTTCTTGGAATTAAAATGTCATATTACCTTAACCTGTCACTTGACATTCAACAATAAAGTCACTAATAAAGTCAACAACACTTTATTCATCCATGAAACACATATCAAATGTCTGTAATGTGGCCAAAAGGAGCCCTGGTGGTGCAATGATTAAATGCTCCTACTCTGCAAGGAAAAAGACCTGGCAATCTGCTGCCATAAAAATTGCAGCCTAAGTAACCCTGTTGGGCAGTCCTACTCTGTCAGATAGGTTAGCTATGGCCAATAATGACACGAAGTTTGGGAAATATTAGACTGAGCATTCATTGACCCTCTCCTGATAGACTTTATATAGAATAGGGGAGAAAGAAAATAAGTAAAATGATTACATAAATACATGTCAAATACCACCTACCTAGACAGAACCACCAAAGGTTGCTTCCTTGAGGAAGGCACATTTGAGTTTCAGCTTTTAGAGTCATTTATACTTAAGTAAAAGTAGTGTATGGCAAGACTTTCCAGGCATAGGAAATGTGGGAGGGTGAAAAGGCAACAAAGGAACTGAAAGAAAGCTGGGCACAGAGGAACAAGGTTGTGTCATGAGAGATGAAAACGAAGAGAGAGAGATATAGGAGCCAAAAGAAGGTCTCTTGAGGCATGCTAAGCAGCTTGGTCTTCATCTGAGGAGCAAACGGAGATCATGGGAGGTTGTATATATGTTAGGCCCAAGTCATAATAATACCCAAAGTTAGGG